TTGAAGATGAATCTCCTTGGGGTCATGCATGAATTGGCTGATGACGCTAACAGAATATGCCATGTCCGGCCTGGTGTGGGCAAGATAAATGAGTTTTCCAACTAATCTTTGGTACATCTCTCTATCTACTACTTGATCTACAATAGCCTCTCCAAGTCTATGGTTCGGTTTTATAGGTGTTGCAGTTGGTTTGCTTGTGAGCATTCCTGTTTCCTTAAGAAGATCGGTGACATACTTTTGCTGCGAGATGAAGATACCTTGTCTAGAATGAGCCACTTCTATCCCTAGAAAATACTTCAATCTCCCCAAATCTTTTATCTCGAATTCTTTGATCAAACATTGTTTCAAGGCTTGCTTCTCCTTCTCATCATTTCCAGTCATAATTATGTCGTCCACATAGACTATCAAGGCCGTGACTTTCCTTGAAACTGAGTGTTTGATGAAAAGAGTGTGATCTCCCTGACTCTGCTTGTATCCTGTAGCTAACATCACCTTAGTAAATCTCCCAAACCAGGCACAAGGCGATTGTTTTAAACCGTATAAGGCCTTCCTTAACTTGCATACCTTGTTCCCTTCAACTCCTCCAAATCCTGGCGGGATGCTCATATAGATTTCTTCTTCCAAGTCACCATGTAGAAAGGCGTTCTGCACATCGTACTGCTGTAATTCCCAACTAAAATTGGCTGCTAATGACAACAAGATCCTCATAGTGTTCATTTTTGCAACTGGAGCGAAGGTCTTTTGGTAATCAACTCCATATGTTTGAGTGTACCCCTTAGCAACTAGCCTTGCTTTGTAGCGCTCAAACGATCCATCAGCCTTATATTTCAAGGTAAAAACCCACTTACACCCTACTGCCTTCTTTTCTTTTGGTAGATCAACCACCTCCCACGTCCCATTTTTTTTCCAATGTGTCCATCTCAACTCTCATTGCTTTCCTCCATTCTTCTTGGATAATGCCTCAGATAAAGTGTTTGGAATAGAGATTTCATTTAGACTCGTGAGAAAACTCCTATGGGCTGGTGAGAATTTCTTTAAGGATACATAATAAGATAGAGGGTATAATGGTCGTTTGGTACACTCTCGAGTTCCTTTCCTCACGGCTATGGGCAAATCCTGGTCAGTTATTTGAGGTCCAGGGAGCTGGTGTTCTATAAGTGGAGTAGGTTCAGATACTGTTACCTCATTCTCAGGAGTCAGGTTAGAGGTTTGGGCCTGCATCGGATCAGGAGCTGGACCTTGCTTCCTCGAGTACACCTTCCCCTTCCCATACCGTACGTGATCAAGAGTCATATTATCCTTCACAGGAGACACAACAAGAGATATAGGTGACAAAACAGGAAATTCAGGCTCAGGTACTAAGTTGGATGGAGTGTTTGATACAGGTAAGAGAGATGGTGACGGTAAAGCGAGCTGGAAAAAATCCTTATCTTCTATGTAGATGACTCCCCTTGAAGAGAAGGTTCAATAAAATATGGTTTTCCTTCCGCAAAAGTGACATCAGCTGAGATATAAAGTTTCTTGGTAGGAGGATGAAAACATTTGTAACCTTTTTGTGTGGATGTGTATCCTACAAACACACACTTAATGGCTTTAGGATCTAATTTGCCCCGGTTGTTACCATGGACATGAACAAATGAAGTGCACCCAAATATCCTAGGGGTAAGGTTGTTTGTGGCACTAAGGTCGGGGTAGAATTTAGAAAGGACTTCCATTGGACTTCTTGACCCTAAAACCCGTGAAGGAAGTCTGTTTATGATGTAGGCAGATGTAAGTACTGCTTCCCCCCAATAGTGTTTAGGTACATTTTAATGAAACAAGAGTGCTCTAGTAGTGTTTAGGAGATGACCGTTTTTTCTTTCAGATGCAAGATGACTCATGAATAATTCCTTCCTTTTGAAAGAAGGGTGACAAGACTTGATTAAAGTAATCCCTCGCATTATCAGACCTAAACCTCTTTATTTTAGTACCAAACTGATTGTGGATCATTGTATGGAAATTGAGAAAGATATTACTCACATCTGATTTGTTTTTGAGTAAAAATATCTAAGAGACTCTAGTGCAATCATCGATAAAGGACACAAACCACCGTGAACCAGGAACATTTGGGACTGTGGAGGTCCCCATATATCACTGTGAATTAAATAAAAAGGGGAGGAACTTCTTTTATTGCTAATGGGAAAAGCTACACGAGTGTGTTTTGCATACTCACAAATATGACAATGAAATGTCCTAATATTTAATCCCTTAAACAAAGAAGGAAACATGATTTTTAGAATTGCAAAAGAAGGATGTCCGAGATGAAAATGATGCAACCATATGACATCTTTATTGAAAGAAGAGAGAAACGAAGAGGATAAATTTGTCCTGATCATACTCGGAAGGCTCGATGTCTCAAGGTAGTAGAGTCCTTCCTTTTCCTTAGCACGTCCAATCCTCCTCGCTGAATCCTGGTCCTGAAATTCACAGTAAGAGGGATAAAACGTAGCATGACAATGTAAGTCTCTAGTAAGCTTTTGAATGGACACAAGGTTAGCGGACAATTTAGGAACATGTAAAACATTTTTAAGAGCAAGACTAGGGGTGATATGGATATCTCCTACACCAGTAACCGTGGTTGTGGTTCCATCAGCAACAGTGATTTTCCTATTGCTAGGACATGGGGCATAAGTGCTAAACTAGTTTGAGGCATGTGTCATGTAGTCTGTGGCTCCCGAGTCTATGATCCATGAATCCACAAACAATTTATCAGAAACATGTAATCCAAGGGAGAATAAAGACTCACCGGAGAGGGCTAAAGAACAAGCACCAGAAGATGGTTTCTCAAGGGTTCCCAACAGATTTCTTAACTTCTCTATTTCTTCACCGTCGAATCCTCCATATTCTTTTGCCTGGTCTTGACCCACCTGTGAGGTCATATAGGCTTGTCCTTGTTGTCGTTGTTGCTGTCCTCCTTTTTTTTCCCCATTCTCGGCTGGATGTGGGTGGTTTCCCATATAATTTCCAGCAACGATCCCTGGTATGTCGCGACTTTTTACAGTATGTATACCAAAGATTATCTCGGTTTGCGCCCTTTGATAATTCCGCCTTTCCATGTTCAGCTTTTTGCGGTTGTTCTAGAGTGAAACCCCGCTTGTTGTCACCAGAGACTACGAGTGCTGAGCTGTCAATCGACTGAGATTCAAGCATGATTCCTCTTCGACTCTCTTCAGCCCGAATCAATGAAATCACCTCATTAAGAGATGGTACCTCCTCCTTGCCCAAAATTTGAATTTTGACTTGATCAAATTCAGAGTTTAGGCTAGCGAGAAAATCATAAACTTGATCTTTTTCAATGAAATTTTTGATAATTAAAGCGCATTCGCTGCACTTCAAATCAATCACCCGGTAGTAATCCAGTTCTTGCCACTGGTTTTGTAGAAAATTGGCACACTCAGTCACGGACTTGTTCCCCTATTTTGTAGACGTTGTTTTTGTCTTGATCTCGTATACTTGCGCTGCATCACGAACCTTGGAGTAAGTCTAGTTGAGAGCGTCCCAGATGGCCTTCGCAGTTGGTAGGAACATGCATGTATCGCTGATTTCAGGTGTCATGGAATTCCACAACCAGGACATGACCATTGAGTCCTCCTCGTCCCACGCTTCGAAACCTGCATCACCTTTCTTTGGTCCCGTTCCTAGCAAGTGACTTAGTTTCCCTTTTCCTTTTAGAAAAGTTCGAACCAATTGAGACCATTGCAAGTAGTTCCTTCCATTAAGTTGGTACGCCGGTTGAATATTCTGCAGTTCACTTGTGGGGCGCTGAACCTGCTTTTCCTCGGGTGATTGGGATGGTTGAATAGTAGTTTCTGACATTCTTCAACAATCGGTTATGAAGGCCGGACAGAAGGGTTTTGCAAAAATTGGCAAAAGAAATTGCTAGAGAATGACTGCGATGAAGGCAAGTCACAAAGAAAATTGGCTATGAAAGCCTGAACAGAAAAAATAAAAAAAATAAAAACGCTGAATTTTTTTTTTTTTTCTTCAGGAAATCCAATCCTTAAAGCTTTGATACCATGTGGAGAAATGAATTCAATTATATTGAATCTGTTAATTAATTTTACAAGAGCCTCTGTTGGGCTATATATAAGAACTTACAAAGAGAAAAATCAGCAACTAACTTAATTTTGACATCCCTATAATCAGGAATCCTTGATTCTCTATCAATCAAATCCCTAAACTCTAGGAAACAAATATTTACACAATTCTAGTGCTAACTTACCACTAATCAAGGAGGTATTTTTCCACTACATTACTTTACTGCAGAAAATAAAATAAACTAACCAAAATAAAATAAATATTTAGCAGTGTCTGCGTGTCCTTCTGTTTAGAGATTTGACAAGTCCGATGCATGGATACATACCCGTAGTTGATTTGATTAAGCTTTCTTGTTTATAATAATAATTTATATTTATTGGCACAAACTGAAATTGCTTCTTCCCATCAAGAAATTTGCTCAGACTTGAAGAAAGGATCTTTGTTCTACTTCTATCTTATTTACACTTCCTCCAATGCTTACCTTCAGTTCTTTGGCCTCACAAATTGAATTATTTTGGATAGGAGATGGCAGTTCCATGTCAACCCTGAATTTCTTGGATATTTTCTGCTGTGGCTTCTTTTTATGGAAATTTTAACATCTAAAGATATAGAAAGAGCTCAACATAACGATACAATTGCACTAAGTTTCTTGTTAATATTTTCTTATTGATATGGAGAGAGCCTTTAGATAATGTAGTTTGTTCAGGAGAATCTGCAGGATGGTATTTCTACATTTCCTTAGGAAAGGAAAGTGGAATAACCAGTGTTTTAGCATAATAGTTTTTGGTTGATTAGCCTACCACCACTTTCGACCACATATCATTTTCATTTTATATTCTTTCCCTTGGTGTGGAAAATTATATGTGTTTGACCAATACTAAAGAAACTGTTGTTTTTTCTAAATGGATTGACAAACCAAGCAGGTCACTTGTCTCCAAAGAGTGATGTGTACAGTTTTGGAGTTGTCTTGTTAGAGTTGTTATCCGGAAAACGAGCAATGGGTGACGACAGAGCCGGAGCTACTGATGAAACCTTGGTGGATTGGGCAAAGCCATTTCTAGGTGACAGTAGGCGAGTTTTGAGAATCATGGACACGCGGTTGGGGGGTCAATACTCGAAGAAGGCAGCCCAAGTTGCCGCGGCCCTTGCAGTGCAGTGCCTCCATACAGATCCCAAAAATAGACCATCCATGATAGATGTCCTAGCCACATTGGAAGAACGAAACACATCAAGGGATGTTTTAAGGACCACATCGCGGGACAAAGCAGTTTAGCTATCCTCGCAACAAAACCACAGCAAGCACAGACTCGAGGTAAACCATATTTTCCTTGCATACGAACGCAGTTTCTCCCTCTCATGGAACCTGAATTGAAGCGCGTGTCTACAATTAGTTCCTGTGTATCAAAAAAAACTTGTAGGAGACACATTATGCTATATTTTTGATGTGGCTGTTGAAAAGTGTATCCTTTTTTTTTTTTTTTTTTTTCCTTTTTTCTTTTCTTTTCTTTTCGTTTTTTTTATTTTATTTTTTGGTAAAATTATTTTATCATGTATGTATGACGAGACGTTTCCTCCACCTCCCTCTTTATTCATGAATGTATAAAATGGTATCATTCTACCACTTACCAATGAAGGCGCATCCCTAGTAACTAGTTCATATTTGCATGTTGCTTGCTGCCAACAGTTCTTATAAACATACAAAATAACTAAATAAATAAATAATATCAAAATAACATAAAATTGACATGGATCTATTAAGGTAAAAGTCTAGGGGTGGGTTTGGGCGGGCTTTGGGCTGATCGTGAATGGGCGGGACAGCAATGGGTCATTGGCCCATTAGCAACTTATTATGGTGTGGGTTAAAAATGGATTGGGTGTTAAATGGTTTAAGCCAAACCCACACCTAACCCAATTACCCAAATGTTTTTAGAAACAAATTGTCAAATATTTTTAATTCTTGAATATCAAAAAATAAAAAAAATTGTTCTTGTAATAGTTTTATATTAATTTTCTAGTATCTGGTGTTACAATTTTTTTTTTTTTAAAAGTCAAAAACAACTTATTACTCTGCTAGTATTATTAATTATATATATATATATATATATATATATATATATAAATGAATTTTAACCGGTACATAAATGGTTTTAATTTTAATTTTTTTTACCCAATAAAATAGAAATTGAGGTTTATAGTGCAAAAAAGTAAATAAAAAGAAATATAGAAGTTGAGGTAACATTGCGATAGAGCAGCACAACACAGCCCCGGGAAAGGAAAAAAAAAAAAAAACACAAAACAGAGAGGAGTGAGAGAAAGGAAAGAGAAAAAAATTTAGAGAGGCCAATTTTTATTGTTCTATATAAAATCATAATTAATAACGATAAATAAGTATCACAACATCTTCCTATATAAATACTCCTAACCCAATTAAAATGACAGGATCTCTGAGCAATGGTAGGATATGTGAGCAATAATTTTATATTTTAGGAAGGGACAAAATTTAATAATAATAATAAAAAATTGTCCCAATTTTTTTTTTTTGTCCGAAAGTTAAAGCAGTGCCAAATTTGTGAGAGAGAGATCAATTTAACAGTAACTATGTCGGCCAATGAAATTACTTTCTAAAAATAAAAAAAAATAGAAAAATAGAGATGAAATTAATTTCTCTTTTTAAAATTTTTGGGAGAGAAAACAAAAGAGTTAAAAAAAACTTTCTGAAAAAAGAAAAGAGGAAGAAGAGAGAAAACATAGGAGAGAGAGAAGAGAGAGAAAAAACAGAGGAGAAAAAAAGGGGGAAGAGAAGATAAAACAGAGGAGAGAAAAAGGGGGAAGAGAAAAGAAAACAGAGAGAAATAGAGGAGAGAAATAAGAGTTTTGTTTAAGCGGGTTGACCACCCTCTTTTGGAGTTTGTCCAAATTACTTTGACCACTTATAACGACAGTCATGGATTAAGTCTGCAAGAAAAATAATTTTTAAATGCCCACAGTAGCCTAAATAAGGTAAAATGAATTAAATGACCTTATTAATATATCATATAACCATTCCAACCAATTTTAGTTGAATAAGACTAAATTATATATGTAACCTACGCCACTGTTCCCCACCTGTTGTAACATTTTCACTCTTTTTTTGGACCAAGCATACCTGGTCAGTTTCTCTCTCTCCATTTGTTTTTTTTTCTTCTCTCTCTCTCTCATTTTTTACTCTCTCAGCTTTAACAATTGATGATCAATCATCACTCAATTGAAGATATTGTATTTGTCATTGGTTGTTTACACTTTGTACAAAAATAAAATTAAAAATTTATAAATACTTTAATAAAAATGTATGGTAAAAAGTAGGGTTGAACCACTCTCAAGTGAAATTTTATTATGAACTCAAATTTAAAATCAGAATTTATGGGATGGAAAAAGAATATTTTAAAACAAATTTTTTATTAATAAATTGCTAAAACCTAATACTAAAATTTTTAAGGAATGTGTATCCACCACCATGGATCAATATAAATAAAATTTATATTTTTCTTACATGAATATTTTTCCAATAAGCAAATCACTTCACCAGTCTAATTACAACTTGAAAATATAAAAGAAAATATATCATTAAATAACACTTTCTTATATATGAGAGAATATATATATATATATATATATATATTACTTATAATCAGATATATCTTTGGTAATTTTAGTTGGGCATTATTTGAATTACCATTATTTTGCAAACACAAACGATCCTCGCTCTATTCTTTTATATATAAAACACGTGCAGAATAAAAGAATAAAACAAATATTATTATCAGAGGAAAATTAATACAAGGAATAAATAAATATATATATATATATATTATTTACATTTTAGCCATGGTGGTTTCATCACTCCCTTGACCTTGAGAGTGATGTTTACACTAAATAACAAATGTCTCTATTTATAATTTATTTATCTCTAACTCTTTACATCTCTGCCCCTCTCCCTTCATGAGAGTCTCTATATATAGAGTTTAGTAGGTAAGAATCGGGAGGAAAAAAATAATAATTTGAAAATCAAAATACAGGGGAAATGAAAATAAAAAACACATTAAATCTAACTAAAATCCTATTGTTTTCCAATTTGAATTGATATTTGCTAATTTATTGGAGCGTCAATTTTGAATTTGAATTTGATTTTGATTGGCCGTGTTTAAAAAGAATTAAATAATTGTGTTGCAATTAAGTCTTGAAATTGGAGATGACTCGATAGCTCAGTGGGTTAGTGTCTTCAATGAACTTTGGAGTGTCAGGTTTTGACTTTCTGCATCTACTAATTTAACTTTTAATACTTCTTGCCTTGTAAAAAAAAAAAAAAAAATCACATTTTGAAATTAAGAATTCTTAGAAAGTTGGTTATGCAATGGACCATCTTTCCTACAATGCTTCTGGTGCTCTTTTTTAATTATAAATAATCTCCATCCTTTATGCGGCCTATTCTCACTTTTTTTTTTTGCCATTTTTGCTTATTTTCTTCGCATTATGAAAATAACCACTATAAAACATGAAAAAAAGGTTTGCAACATGCAACTAATATAAAATATTAATAAAATATTTATTTTTTTAGTACAAAATAACAAGTTTTGTGCAATTATTGTTGATAGAGAAAAATAACCTACCTTGACCAGCCGCCAGACCTCTTCGACGACAAATCTGGCAACAATCGATCTCCTCTAATCTCGCAATCAATCTCTTTTGATCTCGCACAAGCCGATCTCCCGCGAGATCAATCTGATTCCAATCGACAGCCATAAATAGGGCACCAAGCCGTTAAAGAAGGTATAAGAAAAAACCCTAGAGAGAATATACATAATTATTATGTAATACGATTACAAGTACTAACTTGATCGTCGGAGAGTCCTCGGCCGGCACCCCACTGGTTCTATTCGAGGTGACGTCCCTTTGTTTTGCAGGTAAATGCTGTCGTTCCGAGTCGTGAGGATTTCTGCATCAACAATTGGCGCCGTCTGTGGGAACGATTAGTTCTTTGAAGAAATGATAATCCTGACGCGACTTGGCTCAGACGGCAAGATAAAAGTTTCCGATCATGGAAACCATCCCAAAGTCATCAGTTGACAACGGGTTTTCATGTTCTTATATAAGGACAGGTCTCTACATCATGTGTAATAACCCGGATTTTCACGGATATTTTTTTTTTCCATTGTCTTTCCTTTCTGAGTTCAGTTCCTCTTCGTTTAGTGTCATCTCGAGTGCTTTGGAGTGATTTCCGAGACTCTTTTCTATGGATTGACAACTTCCTTTGAGGACCGAGTCGTTTTCACATTTTTCGTTTTTCGACACTATTCCCTTTTCGTCATTTTTCTTATTTCGTTCTTTTCCTTATTTTGTCTTTTCCCCGTTTGACACTTTGTTGGCATAACCACACTTTTTGTGTTTGAAGTTGGTTTTTGACTTCATGTATCTTTATCTTGAGTGGTTTCTACGAAATACATATCTTTACTTTTGCAAGAAAGTACTCTGGTTGCTCCCGGTGTCCATAAAGGTATGGATGCAAAGTTCTTTGAAATTATTTTCTTTTCTTGGGGTATTTTTCGTAAATATCTTTTGAAGATATTTTATTTCAGGAGTTTTTAAGAAAATATTTTTGGAAGATATTTTCATTCTGGGCCATTAGTGCAATTTTCACTTTTTGGAGGGGCCATTGTGCAATTGATGAAAGTTATTGTTAAATGCCTTGTTTTGAGCCTGGATCCTCGTACGGGATTCATTTTCACTTTTCGTCGAGTCGTGTACTCTTAGAAATTCCTTCTGGTCATTGTTTTCCAGTTTCAGGGTTTCTGGCCCTAGTTAGCGCCAAACTTGTTTGGGGCATAACTTTCTGGTCGGGACTTGGTTTTTGATGCCGTTTCTTCCGTTATTCATATTTTATCATTTTGAATCTTTTTCATTCACAGAGTTTTGTCATTTGAACGCGTCTGCTCAAATTTCACTTTTTCGGACCCGACGAGGCCCGTTCGGGGCACTTTTTGAGATTTCTATAAAAGGGGGGTGAGATATTTTATTTTTTCATCTTCTCCACTCTCTTGCACGACCTGAAGCTTCCATGGCAGCCCAAGGGAGGCTTCCACCTTCTCTCTCCTCTTTTGAGCTTCATTCCTTCGTCAGAACATAGAAGGGCCTTTGCGTTTAGTGTTCGTGTTGACTACGCGCTTCTTTCACCCTTATTAGAACCCATTTCTGACCATTCTTTGAGTTTGGGTTTGAAGTCAAGTTGTGATTTTGATGGGGCTTCCTTGGGGGTTATGTGCACGGTGTAGTCCCTGACAAAACCTAGAAGTTTCGTCGGATTCGGAGCGGTTTCCATTTGGTGGCTTTTGAGATTTTCATCTCAAATTGAGGTAGGGGATGTTCTAGGCTTTTGTGTGTGTTGTATTGAGTGTTTAGCATGATTATACAACTTAATTGCATGCCTTGTATCAATTCTAGAAAATTAGTATTAATTATTTCTTTGTATGAAATTTAATTCACAAGGATGTGTATAACTTAGAATGGAATTGTGATATGCTAGAAAATCATGTTTTAATATATTTGTTAACATATATTAAATTGGGATTAATTGAATAAGAATTGCATATTTTATTTAAGATTTATCTTTTGTGAAAGATTAAATCCCATGGCCGTACCTAGCATAAAATTGACTTGTGATATGCTTTTAAATTTTGTCTTGGCATATTGTTTAACATACTTTAATTTGAGAGCATTTGGACAAGTATGAAAATCTAGAGATTTTAATTAAAATGATTAATTAAAATCTAATTAAGGGTTCCATTGGCCTAATTAAGTGTTTAACTTGATATTTGTGATAACTATGACTTATGTTCTAGCATATGTTAATTTGGAACCATTTGATATTGTTTTAGAAGTTAGGGATTTGATTATCAAGATTTAATTAAATTCCACTTTATTGTTCTTATGGCCTAATCGAGTTTTGATGTGGTGTATGTAATGACCATGTTATATTGTTTATCATGTATTAATTGGAGGCCATTTGATTGAGATTTGAATCCTAGGGAATTTAATTAGTTTATTGATTAAATTTCGTTTCTATTGTATTATTGATTAACTCATGTATTTGACATTGATAGTATGTTTAAAGCATGACTTTTGACTTATAATGGATTTATGAGTTATGTTTCAATATTGGATTATATTGTTATAGCGCATAACGAATCGCGCTCTGAAGATTCGACAAGTGATGTTATTATAGCGCGTAACGAATTGCACTCTGACGATTCGACATTGTCATCCTATAGTAGTTGTGGATTTAGAGCATGTGTTGTGTGGTTTCAGCCTACTTGTGCATGAAGGTAGTTTCGTGTACTGTTCAATACGTATATAAGTTGTAAACTTATCTATTTATTTTGGAACCACTTGGGACATTGCATGATGGTTAGGGTTTGGCTCTAGTATGGGGACAAGAGTCCTTTAAGTCAAAAGTTCGCGCGTTGGGTAGGCTGCCTGGGGGTTAGTAACTCCAAATTAGCCCAGAAAAGTTCGCGCGTTGGGTAGGCTACCTAGGGGTTAGTAGCTCCAAATTAGCCCTGTATCGGTCTCATCCGACTGATGTCCAAGTCTTCCACTATTTGTTTTCGTATTCAATTCCAAGTTATCAATCATGTTTATATTGTGACTGTGGTTTTGGCTATTGGCGATTTGATGTTGTTAAGTACATCCATACTAAATTGCTATATTTAGTTGATTTAGCATTTAGATTTCAAGTTGATAACTTTGAGAATCTATATCTAGTTGCTTTGTGTAAGCATGTTTCTATCTGGTTGCTTTGCGCAAGCATGTTTCTAACTAGTTGTTTTGTGTAAGCATGTTATATCTTGTTGCTATGTGTAGCATGCTCTTGTGTTGTTGAAATTGCATAAAAGATGTGTTTTATGCTAGAAATGATCTTAGGTAGCTAGGATGCTCCTTGAGTCTCACCTTTGACATAGACGTTAGGTGAAATGAATCACAATGATTAAATCATGTACACTTGTAAAATGTAGGTCGATGCATGCTCATTTCCTACGAGTAGCTTTATGTTACTCACCCCTACGATACTGGGGCATATTTCAGGTACAGGATACAAGATTGGAGATTGCAATTGCTTGGGTGATTTGCTGAGTTGAGCTTCTTTAGAAGCATTCTTGTTCACATGCAAGTGTTAGCATGTTCATGATTTGTTTATGAAATGTAATTTTTCTAACTTGGAGGTTTGACATGTCAAATGTTGTAAATGTATTATAATGAGGCCATAGGCCATTGTAGCACATCTATTTTATCTTATTACATACACTTGCATGCTCACTTTGGCAAACAATACATTCCTTGATGAAACAAAAACTCTAAGTAGCATTTTTAGGGAGTTTTACCCTATTCTATTCTAGAGGCATTTCGGGTATTTTATAATGCGTTTTTTTCATTTTTCCTCACGAGTCACGTAGAAAACTCAATTTTGAAGGGGGTTTCTTCTTTGTGGTTTTCCAGAAAACATTATCTTGACCCTCAAAAATCAATATTTTTCTGAATAATCCTTGTTGCCAGGTTTTGCAAATTTTTAGTACAAATGCAGTTGGTACTATTCATCGATTTTTTTTTGAAAATTATCACGACCGATCCGAAACTTTCGGAGGTCTTGTGGGTGTATTTTAAGATTGAATTTTCAATTTAGGCAATTTAAAAACCTCCCGAAGCCCTATTTCCAAAACTTGGGCAATAGCTCGGATTAGTTTTTTTCCTCTTGACCTGATTTTCTTGGGGGCATTCTGGGCATTTTACAATGCATTTTTTTTGTTTCCGTCCGCGATCGGGGTAGGAAACTTGATTTTAGGGGGGGGGGGGGGGGGTTTCTTCTTTGAGTTTTTCCAAAAAAGTCCGTTTAGATGCCCGTTTTTACTCTCAGTTGCAGTAGTGGTGGGTTGTCCTCGTCGGGCTGCCACGACATCATTTTTGTTTTTGACCTTTCTCCCCCGTTCGGACTCCAAATTGAGTAAATTTTTTTTTGAACTTGACTAATTTGTCATTGTCTTTCCAGCGGTGTGCTTGATAGCACCTGAATCCACTTTTTGCAAAATGACCATTTTGCCCATAGGTTCTTTTTGTCCATTTTTGAAACGACACTTCTGCATTTGTTTCCTTTGGGTTCCGTGACCTCATTGAGGGTCACATTAGTGTCTTAGAGGCGCATTGTATCTCTAGAGACCGTTGTTTCACCTTTCGCTTCCACATTTCGGATCAATTATCGGGTCATCTTTTGGTCATCACTAACGCACCGGGTTTACAAAACTTGAGCCGTCACATCATGATTACCAATCCATCATATTGGGGGCAAAACGGTGGGTTGCATGATGCCACCCAGTGTACGCTGATAATAATCAAAATTTGGCACGTCGGCCTAGGCCGTCCAATGTGGTGTTTTCCATCTAGTGATGCTTAGTCCTCTTACTACTAAGGGTTGTCTAAGACCAAACTCTATCTCATATTTGGCAACAGCCAACTACCAAGGCCTGATCGTTGAAGACTAAGGCCTGGTCCTTCTGCGCCTACATAAGTGAGTTGGTCTCCGCCCATCAAGAAGATCATTACTAACAAGGGGTTTTTACCTACTAGTAAAACCTCCACCTACCAGACGACAGTCGTCACCTCTTTTCCTTTGCAGGAATTGTCTATCAACTTCAGATTATGCAGAATTTTGGATTGATAATCCATGACAGGTTAATTTTCAGTAATCATTTCTAACACAATCTAATATTTTTAGACAACTGTAAATTGTTGCAGCACCAGGCACCCCGTCCGCTGTATAAACGTCTATAGAATGGGTTATCACCCAAGATCCCACCATCGGGGGCAGAATAGTGGATTACACGATATCAATTGTCGATCTACATATGATGACAAGGTTTAGAAGATCGACGTTGTCACGCCCTTAGACCGTAGTCCGGATTGTGAACACAACACACAAATAATCACAGTCTCAAAATCACTGAATATCCCTGTAACCTGTCTGAACCACACATCCACCTATCTATTTCTTTTTAGAAAATCAAGACTGAAAATAAATAGATAAGGTGCAAATATTAAAACTTTAAAGTTTTAAAGTCTGAAAGAAAATTTATTACATGCCAGGAAAATTCTAGGAAGTATAATACAAAACATAGTCTATTATGCGGAATATAACACAACAACACCAGCCCCGACTCTATCTACAGCTGAGGAGGAACACCCTTCACACCATCCATGCTATGACCTGAAAAGATGTGAATAAAATAGGAATGAGCAACCACAGCTCAGCAGGAATTGCCTAAAGCGCACTCCTTAATACCTCCGTGGATCCAAACAAAGAATAGACAAAGGATAATGGGATCATAAAAACTCGGGAAAGAAATAATGTCATGTTGGATAATAAAATGAAGTGCCATGCAATGCGGATGCTAATGCTAATGCCACAGACACTTCTCACTTCCCAAAAATCCAATTTCCATCACAAAAAGTTAATGTAATCCGGCCAGAGCTGCTCCCTGTACCACGAGAAGAGAATTGATCATCTATCCCTGATCCAAGGCAACTCCTTGTAATCATTTGGGGCCTAGTGACACAATTATGTGTAGGCAACTCCTACGTCTTCTCTAGATTTCCATTAACTGCAAAGACAAGGCAACTCCTTGTCCGGTTTTGAAATCATTGAATCAATCCCACTTTCCTAACTCACGGATACAAGGCACCTCCCTGTTATCCGGTTTTCAAAATCATTTTATTGAACTTTCACTTCCTTTTTCCATTCTAACCTTAACCCCATGACCATGCAAGAGGAATGCACATTTGTGTCATGTTCCGAAGTTTCTAAACAGTAAACAGTTCACATGCAGCATTTTACTTCCATCTTTGAAAATTCATAACAAATTCAATTATAAGTTAAATTGAGTGATTCCAAAGCCTAATGAAAGCTTAAACAATGTACTTTGAGAGTGTTAATTTAGTTTAACAAAATCCCTTCCCAATTGGAACAGTTTTGACCCAAAAGTTCGAACTAAAATCTGCCAGAAACTGACTTTCAGCCTGTAGCTTACATCTTTGAAAATTCATAACAAATTCAATTCTAAGTCAAATTGAGTGAGTCCAAAGCCTAATGAAAGCTTAAACAATTTACTTTGAAATTGTCAATTTAGTTTAACAAAATACCTTCCCAATTGGAACAGTTTTAATCCACAATTTCGAAATAAAAATCTGTCAGACACTGATTTCCAGCCTGTAGCTTCCATCTTCAAAAATTCATAGTAAATTCAATTTTCGTCCAAATGGAGTGAATCCAAAGGCCACTGAAAGTTAAAAGACTATATTTTTAAGATAAAATTTTATTTCATCAAAATGCCATACCATATAAAGCAGGTTTGATGAACAAAACTCGGACAGAATCTGCCCCAACCCAGAATGCCCAGCAAGAACCCTCTAACTTCAAAAATTCATGGTAAATTCATTTCTCAACCAATTTATGTGAAACCAATTCTCAATGAAAGCTAATTCACTATAGTATCATAATATCAAATCATCTCTGCATGATAAATTACGAATTTATATGAATTAGGGCAAAATAGCAGCATGCAATTTCAGCCAAGCAGTTTCAGCATCAGTTTAGGTTGTTTATACGCTTTGCAACTCAAATTGAAAGAGATAACTCACTAAAGGCAAAGGAATTGAGGGTTAGACAATCCTACCTCAAGGGAAGCTTGAACACTTGCTCAACAATTCAAAACCACACCACAAATGGATCAAAATCAGCAACTAGAAGGTGATGAACACTTTCCTTCTTTGTTTGCAACCAAAACCCTCTTCTTTTAACACCACTTTCCAAACCCAACAACAAAAGAAATGGACTCAAGTTTGATATCAAAAGAACCCTCACTATCTAAGGAACATTTTTCCTTCACAAAGCCCCATCAAAATCCCAACACAAAGCTTCCAAAATTTAGCTTAAAAGGTATCACTATGGAAAGGAAATAGGATGCAGGAAAATTGGGTTTTGCCAAAATGGTTTCTAAGAACAAAATACTAGGCATACTATATGTTATAAAATGAATGGATATGGTGCAACCACATACACCTACACATGTCATCCCCTCCATGGATTAAAACCAAAATCATAAGAAATGACTCAAAAGTCCTTTTATTTCCTACTAAATACCATTCATGCCATTTGCATGATAAAAGTCAAGAATACCCTTTCACAACCAACCAAATGCCAATTATGCTATTTTGCATAGTATAGTCTATAATATTTCTTAACACATAATGATGTTTAATTCACATTTGCAAAATAATCATATTTTTGACAATAAAAAAAAAATGCATGAATGCTAAAATGTTCGAAAAAAATGATAAAAATGCAGGTCCTCACAGACGTACCAACCTTGGTACATCGAGCTAGTCGGGTTTCTAGCTTCTTTCCTTCAGCGACCCCTCGGGGAAACTAGTCATCCAAGACCAGTGCCCGATCCTCTGAAAAAGTCTCTACACACCGGGAATGACTCCAGTAAAGTTTCTACAATCAATGAGTCTACCATGTCCAAGGTGGTCCCATGAGGTTTTTAACCATCAAGCACTAATGATGGTCTTTTCAACTTGGAACCAAGCTTAGTCACATGAACTTCAAATTTGACGGGTCACTACCACCATAGTCACAAAGCAAGGCAAGCATAAAGGATAAGTCCACGAAAGTGAAAAACTTTGACTCCCTTATTAAAGGGCAAGCATATAAAGCTTGGGCAAAATATCCCCTTACTAAAGGGGCGAGCTGGGTAAGGTTCGTAAAAAATAACCTTTTATTAAAGTTGCAATATCCCCGTATTACAAGGGATGATAACGAGTGTCTTGTATTATAAAGACCCGAGTCGAAAGAATCCCGTAATCAATATCCTCGTATTGCAAGGGATGATAACAAGTGTCCTGTATTATCATTTCCCTTATCAATAGGGCATGCTGAGTGAAGCTTGAACATATTACAAACTCCTTACCAAAGGAGTAACAAAAAAACCTAATTCCCTTACTAAAGAGACGAGCTGAGTGAAGCTCATAAAACCTAATTCCCTTACTAAAGGGATGAGCTGAGTGACGTTCATAAAATATGATTCCCTTACTAAAGGGACGAGCTAAGTGAAGCTCGAAAAACACGATTCCTTTACTAAAAGGATGAGCTGAGTAAAGCTCGTAAAACCTAATTCCCTTATTAAAGGGACGAGATGAGTGAAACTCGTAAAACATGATTCCCTTACTAAAGGGACAGGCTAAGTGAAGCTCGTAAAACCTACTTCCCTTACTAAAGGGACGAGTTGAGTGAAGCTCGTAAAACCTACTTCCCTTACTAAAGGGACGGGCTAAATAAAGCTCGTAAAATTTAATTCCTTTATTAAAGGAGTGACGAGCTGAGTGAAATTTGTACAATTTATTCCCTTACCAAGGGAAGATTACCCAGGGGTACTAAAAATAGTATCCAAGGGCAGAGCACCCAAGGGGAAGATTACCCAAGGGTACTAAAAATAGTACCCAGGGGCAGAGTACCCAAGGGTACTAAAAATAGTACCCAGGGGCAGAGTATCCAAGGGTACTAAAAATAGTACCCAGGAGAAAATTACCCAAGGGTACTAAAAATCGTACCTAGGGGCAGAGTACCTAAGGGTACTAAAAATAGTACCCAGGGGCAGAGTACCCAAGGGTACCAAAAATATTACCCAGGGGCAGAGTACCCAAGGGTACTAAAACTAATACCCAAGGGAATATTGTCCAAGGGTACCAAAAATAGTACCCAGGGGCAGAGTACCCAAAAGTACTAAAAATAGTACCTAGGGGTTAAATACCCAAGGGTACCAAAAATAGTACTTCCGGGGACCATTACCTAAAGGAAGAGTACCCCCCAGGGGAAAAAAAAAAAAAAAAAATTCTTGTTACTGTTCATATGAACAGTACCCCCCACGGGAGTAGTACCTGCGGGTACTGTTCCCAGGGCAACAAGAAGAAGAAGAAGAAAAAATGGAGTTACTATACACGTAAATAGTACCGTGGGTACTGTTCCCCGGGCCAAAAAAAAAAAAAAAAAATAAATAAATAAATTGACATTCCCAAAGCTAGACGAGCAAGCTTAGGAATAGGGGGCAACTGATAGGGAAAAATAACCTACCTTGACCAGCCGCCGTACCTCTTTGACATATTTCATTATCAGAGATAAAGATTTTCCTCGGATAAGAATGATGACATTTCTTATCCAGGATAATGAATGACGACGTGGTTTAACAGGGTGAGGATAACCTTGGCACAATTTGAGGAAGTCAAAGGAGTAAATCTTATCCCCAAAAATCTGGCAACAATCGATCTCCTCTGATCTCGCACAAGCCGATCTCCCATGGGATCAATCTGATTCCAATCGACAGCCATAATAGGGCACCAAGCCGTTAAAGGAGGTATGAGAAAAAACCTTAGAGAGAATATACATAATTATTATGTGATACAATTACAAGTACTAACTTGATCGTCAGAGAGTCCTCGGCCGGCACCCCACCGGTGCCATTCGAGGTGACATCCCTTTGTTTTGCAGGTAAACGCCGTCGTTCCGAGTTGTGAGGATTTCCGCATCAACAATTGTAGTGGAGGGTCTGATGTTAACCGAAGACCATGATGTAGTAAACATATCAAAATATATTATAGCTTCTTTTCAATTTTCCGCTAAAGTATAATTATTTGGGGTAGTATGAACTATAATTAACATTTGGTGAATACAAGTTGTCTTATAATTTGTTGATTTTACTTTAATACTCTAGTCCATCAAGAAGGATTGACAACGAAGTAATCATTCCAATTTGCAAGAGTATCATCACCAGAAGAAAAAAAAAATATATTCAACATCTAAAATACAATTTTGGAAACTACTTGACTTGGAAATCCAACTCCCAGAAGAATTTTAGATTAAAAAAAAAAATTGTGTTTACAATACAATTGACTTTAGGTGTTGGGTTTGGTTTTCTCATGTGGCTAGGTTCTCTCCCTTCTTAGTTTCTCTCAACTCAATCATCATCTGTTCGATAGATTTGAATTCTTACCAGTAATATTTATGTCAAGACCTCTCAGATCTATGTCTTTATTAAGTTGTACTGTGAAGACACCAAAAATGATCCGGGCTTGGTATGATTTGTATTGCTAAGAATGGGTCGGGTATGGATAGCCATGATAGAGCAAGTCCACGCAGAATGGGCCCAGATCTAAAAGGTCATTGTGGAAGCCCATATTATGATGAAAAAAGTTGAGCCCAAACAAAAGAGAAGGAGTTAGGTCCAGCCCAGGAGTGGTTATAACCGTCTAAAAATAGAGGGGATTGAGAGGGAAAAGAGGTTGAAAATTATTGGGAGTGTAAAGTTTCTCTCTCTACAGTTGGGGAAAAATTCTTTGTACTTTCAATTGGCGCCGTCTGTGGGAAGAACAAAGAGGATTGATTGGTGCTGATCCAGATCGATTCGATTCAAAGCACTTTGCAAAGAAGACGATTAATCTCTGCAGGTTGAATCAAAATTGATGGAAGTGCGATATGTCTTGATGAATCTTGGTTACAGTTGATTTCGAGAGGTTGGCGTCCGATCTACGCAGATCTGATCTATGCTTGATCCGGTGAGCTGCACAGTTGTGATTTGTTGAGATTGTTGAATCTGGCCAGCAGCGAACAAAATTTCGTAAGTTTGAGTTCAGATCTGGTATGTATGCGTTAGCAAAGCTCTGATCTGATCAAGAAATCTGCGGTTGATGACTTTGCTCCGATTAGGAATGATGATTGAAGAGGAGAGCTCAAATCCTTTGGAAAATGGCTAGCAGACGAAGCTCGATGAGTTGATGAGCATGATCGACACCTTGAGGAAAGAAAATGCAGAGTTGCGCGCTGGAATGGAGCGTTGTGCAGCTCTTACGATTCCGAGGCCACCTCCGGAAGGAGAGAGAGTCTTATCGACCCATGCTATTCGTCAAGGTGATCCAGAAGGTGTTAATCGCATCGATCCACGTCGTGATGAAGTTACAATAGATGATCTACCTCTGAATGTCCGTCAAGTAGAGGATCGAGAATGATTTATTCATTTAGAGCCACATCGCGAACGGATCATGAGAGAGGAAGCGTCGGCGTATGATCATAGGGTTGCATCATCGTGGCAAAGTGAGTTTGCAGAGGATAGATCGTTTAATCCACCCTATCGACCTTCAATGGCAACATTTGACTACTGCAGTTCAAAAAGGAGATCTGCCGATCGGGGAGTTCCGTCACGATTTTTAAGGGAGAACGAAGCATTGTGCTCATCAGCAAGGACGGTTGCATCTCCGTTCACTGATGAAATTCTGAATGCGCCGAATCCAAAGAAGTTTTCTATTCCGATCTTCATTCTGTTTGATGGAACAACCGACCCGGTCGACCACATATACCACATTTAGTTGAAAATGGCTCTGAATACTAACAATGATCCTCTGATGTGCAAATGCTCCCCTATAAGTTTGGCTAGGCCAGCCCTCAATTGGTTCAAGAATCTGGCTCAGGGCTCAATCGCTAGTTTCCAGGACTTGTGTGACAGGTTCATAAGCCAGTACTATAGGAATAAACGTCTGGCTAAGGATGTATCAAGCCTTTTCACAATGAGGCAGCACGAAAATGAGTGACTCCAAGTTTTCCTCACCTGGTTCAACCTTGTTAAAAGCATGGTAATGGAATGTCATCCATCCACTGCGGTCCAGGCATTTAAACTTGCAATGAACCGGGGGACACCGTTTCACACAAACTTGGTGGTCAATACGCCGAAGACTATGGACGAGCTGAACGAGAGAGTTGGCGGTTTTGTTCGTCTTGAAGAAGAAGAGGCAGCTAATTCAAGGAAGATGTCAATTATTTCGATAGAAGAGAAGTCCCAAGCCAAGATCCGGCAAAAACAAGCTCAGCCGCAACGTCAGACCTCCTGGAAGGCAGAGAAAAGGTCCAGGGAGGAGGAGTTGGTTACTCCACACAGAGTCACCCTGGCAAGGCTGTATCAAGAGAACAAAGATAAATTTCACCCTCCCTTACCAATCAGACAACCTCTTGAACAGAGGGATCAAACTAAACATTGTACTTTCCATAGTGATTTTAGACATCAGACTAACAAATGCAGGATCCTAAGGAGGCAAGTGGAGATGCTAATCGCAAAGGGGGAATTTGCAGGATATGTTCAAGGTCCAGCGCAAGAGCAGAACCGACCAGCTGAGTAGATCAAGAGGAATCAGAGGCTAAACCACCACAGCACTCAGCTCGTTCGGATTATAAATGCAATTCATGGCCGACTTGAATAGACAATGGAGTCAAAGGAGTTGCTC